TTCCAGCCCTGGTTTGGGGATGGATAAAACCTTGAAGGTCATCATGGAGTTCCAGCTCTGGTTTGGGCTGGAAGGGACCTTAAAGCTCATCTCATTCCACCCCCTGCCATGGGCAGGGACACCTCCCACTGTCCCAGCTTGTTCCAACCTGGCCTTGGACACTCCCAGGGATCCAGGGGCAGCCACAGCTTCTCTGCCCAACCTCTGCCAGTCCCTCCCCACCCTCCCATCCAAGAATTCCTTCCCAACATCCCATCCAACCCTTCCCTCTGGAGGAATTCCCCCCTCCCATCCCATCAGGACACCAGGACGGGATGTCCCCGAGCCAGCGGAGCCGCACCGGGGCCACGACTCTGAGCTGCTCTTTAATCCACTCCCTGTCCCACCAAGCATCGTCTGCCCAGTGTCCAACACCCCCAACCCCCCTGGGGGGCAGGGCGGGAGCCCAGGGGGGCTCTGACCCCCCCGGGGGGGCTCTGGGGGCTGCCCCTCGGGGGTGGGTGAAGCCCCTGAGGCCAGGGGAGCTCCAGGTCCGAGTCGAGGGGGCTCCGGGGCCCTCAGCCACTGATCCGGAGGAGGCCGTAGATCTGCTCCAGGACGGGGGCAAAGCTCTGCTCCTTGGGGGTGCGGGAGGCCAGGGAGCCCTGGGGGGGTGTGGGGAGGGGGACACACATCCCAGTTAATCACAGGCACCCCAGTTAGTCATGGACACCCCAGTTAATCACACACAGACACCCCAGTTAATCACAGACCCCTCAGTTAATCACAGACACCCCAGTTAATCACATATAGACACTCCAGTTAATCTCAGACACCCCAGTTAATCCCAGATACCCCAGTTAATTACGGACACCCCAGTTAATCACACACAGACACCCCAGTTAATCATGGACACCCCAATTAATCACGGACACCCCAGTTAACCACACACACCCCAGTTAACCACACACACCCCAGTTAATCACAGACACCCCAGTTACTCACACACACATCCCAGTTCATCCCAGCGGGTGCAGCCCAAGCCCCCTCCCCACCCACCCACCCCCCCAGCCCCTCCCTCACCTTCAGCTTGTCCAGGTAGGTCTGCTCCTGACTCCAGTTCTCCTGGAACTTCACCAGGTCAGGGGCCCCCTTGTAAAACTCCACCAGCAGCGTCTGGGGGGGGGAACAGGGAGGGGCTAAAGGGCCTTGGGGGCACCCCGAGGTTTTTGGGGGGTGGGGTGGGCACCGAGACCTCGGGGGGGAATGGAGAAGGGACTGTCACCAGCACCGGGAGGGCAGGGACGAGCAGTGGAGGTGCTGGTGGGCTCGGGGAGTTGTCCCGGGGGGGGACACAGGGATTTGGGGGGACACAGGGATTTGGGGGCACGCGGGGATTTGGGGGCACACGGGGATTTGGGACTCACCATCTCCTGCACCACGTCGTTGGTGAGGAACCCGTCCTGGATGTAGGTCACCTCCACCTCCATGGGGATGCCGTAGTCGTTGGGGCGTTGCTGGAGGACGATGGGGTGAAGGGGGGGGTCACAGGGGTGTCACACCCACCCTAGAGGGGGGATCCCACCCCAAACCCTCCCCCGGGCTCACCTCGGGCGGTGGCATCACCCAGAAGGGAGCGATCCTGGACTCCACGCCGGGGTTGCCCTGGAAATAGGGCCCTGTGGGGACAGGGTGGGGCTGGCACGGGGTGGGACGGCCCCTCCAGCCCCCCGGGGTGCCCGCGGGGGACGGGCACGTACCGCAGATGAGCCCCAGGCAGGGCTGGAAGCCGTTGCCGCTGCCCTGCAGCTTGAGCTGATAATCCATCTGCGCGTCGATGTCGTGCAGCGAGGGCAGCGCCGGCCCGAAGGGGTGGCTGTGGTACCACCCCACCAGCGACAGCCCCCGCAGGAACAGGCTCTGGCAGATCTGGGGTGGGCACACACACACACCGTGGGCACGGCACCCCTGGGACCCCCCACCCGGCCTCTTCGGGGAGGGGCAACACCCCCCTGGGCCCACAGGGATCCTCTTTGGGGGGCAACACACCCTGTGCCCCCATCCCTGTGCCCCCAGTGA